AAAATAATGGCGTGAGGGAAATATGCTGAATTTTAAGTCTCCTTGCATCGAATTAATATCTCTGTTTAAAAGAGCTTACTGAATATCAATGAAATTTAATAAAATTACTTTTGGTGTGCGCCTGCAATGCTCTGTTTATGTGATTGCCTGACATTCAGCGGTCACGGGAAGGTTTGTCAGGCTCTTGTAATCGTAAGCTGGCCTTCAGTCTACGCTCAGGCCCAGTTGCTTTGCCCTCTTTGGAATACATGTGGGAAGTCTCAGGACGCCACAAAACTCTTTCCTTTTAACTAGAGATTTCGCCACACAAGGTAATCACTCTAGTTTAGTAACTTAAAGTTTCAATGAAATGCTTTAAGTCTCAATATTTTGTTAAAATAATGACACTAAATTAGAAGGTGCTATTTATGACTGCCACACAGCCAGCTGTCTTCTTCTAAGACATTCACGCGCACCTCTCCCCTACATCACCTGATCAGATCCATAATCTACAGGTCCAGTGTTCATATGACAGCGCAGTCACCGGACCTTAATTGTGCTCTCTACCTCTGGCGTTTGCAGGTTTACAATGACTACAATGTCACCTCTATGGAAGGCCTGTTGACGTACCTCAAGCATACAAACAACCCCTCACATAGGTTTATACCACCATCGTTACAACCAAGACAGAAGAATGTCAGCTTTGCTGACATGTATCCGCCTTATGAAAACTTAGGAGTGCTGCAGGGACTAATGGCGATAGCCATTATAACTGCAGACATCACTATGCTACTATGGATTATTGGAAGCGTTGCTTTCTTTTGGAGGGCTGCATTTGACGTAATTTGCAGCCCATTGGATGGATGCTACATTGTTTGTGAGATACCCTTACTTTAATGCATTTTTAAAGACGTTTCCTGCAAAAAAATTAAAGCTTACTCTACTTGCAAAGTGGTTTGTTGCTACACATTAGTGGCTACTTTTGACAAATGTAATTTGCAGTAAAGCGCTATAATCCATAAGTTTTTATTCATGTGGTAGATTACATTCTGACTATGCAGAAAAAGATAGCATTAGGATTAAAGTTATTGTAGTTGCTATCAGCATTTATGAATAAGCGTCTTGCCGGGTCAACGTTACAAGAAAGCATTGATCTTGCTTGTCTTTTAGCATTAAATGGTTAAAATTTATTTGCTCAAGCAAACTTGAAAAATAGGGCATGGGTTAATGGGAGTGTGGTAGCCTTATTCATTGATACACTATATTATTAAGTATGGCAAATGTTTTAAAGCTTGGTCGTCATGGTTACGAGTTAGGCGAAAAGTCCACAGCTTGGATGTAACATTTGTTCCACGGCATTTTCATAGGACTTGAGTGCATTTTATTGTATTAAAGGCGAAGACAAGTGGTCTTACTTTGTTGACTACAGAAAAGAAAAGGACGAGAGTAAAAATGGTGAGTGCTAAGTTATTTCTATTTGGCCATAAAACAAATCACGGGTAAAAAGAACTTTAATAAGGCGAGTGCAATGGTTTAAATTTATTTATTGGTCTTTTTTGTTCTTTTTTACTAAGGAGGTTTACTTTTGGCACTTACCTGGGTTGAAATCAAAAGTGAAGTTGCGAGGGGCTCCCTTGGTTTTTGGGAACGGTAATATGATTTAGGTAGTGAAAGAGAGCCTAGCCTATATTCACTTAAAATAAATGAAACTGGAGTTGCTTTATACAGCTCCGCTTAGATTCAAATTTGAGAAATTACTGTTGACCTTCTTACTGAACTCCAATTGTCTTTAATTAGTACCAACGTTAAAAATTAAACTTTTTGCTTTAGAGGACACCGATCTCGACGATGAGCATAGGAGAGAAGAACTTCTTCAACGCTTAGAAGCAATCAGTGAGTTCATATAACAGCAGGTTCCATAGAGAGTGTATTGTCCTGCCTAAAATTTTCAAAAGCAATGAGCCTAAGCGAAGCTAGTAAATTTTGAAGTCCTTATCACAGCGCATATTTTTGTTTTAGGGAGGAAGATTCCCCATTTACTGAATCCAAAAGCAGGCACAAACCGTCAGTTGTGAAACTTTCAAAATAATTATTTGAAGTCTCTACTATTGTCCATTATGTCCCGGCAGCATAAGCATACGATCCGAAACCAATAAATCTGGCATTGGAGTTTTTAATTTATTCACTTTTACATGGCTCCAGTACTTTTCCAGCCAAATCCGTGGACGCACCGAAAACGATGGCACCCTAAGGTCTAAAATACCTACTCGAGTGTAGATATCTCTAAAAATATCTAGGCAATAACGATAGTAGCAGGAGTGATCGCCTCATTTTACAGATTGGATTCTGCTCTCTCCAAGCCTGTTGTCTATTTTGCAATGGATAATTGTGGTAATTGTGGAGGTAACACCGGTCTAATTCTTCACATTATACTAAGCTATAGTGAGCTTAAACTTGTTGAAAGTTGCGATCTGTATATTTGGCACAGAAATTATCACTCCACTTTGTAACAGATGTTCTAAAAGGCGTGATGCAATCACATTGCTTACCAATTTTTCACCTCTTTTAGCCGAAATGAGTGCCATAAACGAAGCTTCTGGCAACTTTTACCAAATCTCGAAATCGCTGGATGTCAGTGAATTGCCGAGTATAAAGGAGAGATAAGTGATAAGAGCTGCTTTTGATTTATGTCTGTGATCCTGTAGTTGCCTCTTGATTCCTGAAGAGCTATCATAAATTTATTTTAAAATACCGTTAGTATAACAACACCCAAGCGATCGCAACAATTGCATACAAGTGATGTTATCGTCTCCCTTTTGCACAAATGCATACGCTGCGTTTTATTTCAAGGGGAGGAATGAAGGACAAGCGAGTGATCCGAATGCAGGTAACAACTCAACCTACTTTTGTTGATTTTTTTAAATACGTCCTGCTTGCAAGTCCAAGTCTTAAAGCTGACCATTATGCTCCATTAGTTAAAGCAGAGCAAAAGTTTTGCTGCAACTTTTTATCAGTCTAAAAGTGCACTCTGTTATCTCGTTTAGCATCATGATGAGAAGAGTAGTTGATATTGAAAGCGTTCGTTCATTCCTTTTTATTTAACCTCAAGTTATAACGATGCAAAGTTCGGAAAAGGATCCATCGGTTGTCTATCCTGTTGATAAGAACGAGGGTAAGGAGGAGAGGGTTGAGCTCCATGGTGAAATGGCGCCTTCTGAAAGCTATCAAAAGGTAGGGATGCAATCATTGCGTTTTGCTCCCAAAGTAATGCGCAGATCGATTGAAATGCTTTATCAGAGTGTCACTCACGCAGCTTATGCATTATCTGCTCGTCATAATGATGAAAATGCTTAAGCACTTAGCATTGTGGCAAAAACCACACAATAATTTTGTAAGACATCCTACTTAACTCTTAACAGTAGATAGTTAGGGAATAAATTCGATTTTAGGCATTCAAAAGGCTTACCACATCTTTTATTTGGCATTGCCCTTTAGGAGGCGGGTTGATGCACAATTCTACGAATCTCAAAAACTGTTACGGACGACGCAAGATCTTGGGCTCGTTTCTTCACACGCTTAAATCAGCACTCACTTCTCTGCACTTCTGATTAGGATCTGAATATTTTGTCTCTGTATGAAATTCACAGATACGTATTTACCTTCCTTTGTTCAGTTGGTGGAGATTACGATAGTGGTTGTAGCGTCCCGAGGCTTCCCATAGGGTGGCAGAAGGCATAAGTGAGGGTGAGAGCTTGGCCTGAAGGCCAAACCACGTTTACGGAAGGCAAACAAATTCTAAAGTGACCGCCAGAAGTCATGTGGCAACATAAACAAAGCATTACAGTGGTTATGTCCTTGTATACTAGACTAGCCTCCGGACCATGTCCAGACACAATGCGTTCCTATTCTCCTGAAACACATGCATTCAGCACAATTGAGTACCACATTCTACTCAGTAAGAAGGGTCGGGGCACCACAGTAGCAGTTAGAGAATTCTTAGTGGTAAGGAAGGATGTTAAGCGGGATGGGCAGAGTGCATCCAATAAAGAAAGCGGGAGAATGGGGTTTGGATTGACTCGAAGGCCAGCTTGAACTAAAGAGCAAGGTCGACATTAAAGTGATACATTCTTACAAGCGACAACAGAAGCAAGATATTAGATTATAATTTGACTTAGTACTTTGAAATTCCGCGCTGAAACTTATGAGAAAGAAAATTATAATTCAAGTACATGACCGAACAAGCCAATGAAGTCGTTAAGTTAGTACGAACAATATATTTAGCAAATTATTTAATATCAATTAGATCGAGCAACGGCAAAAAAGGAGAACAAATGTTTATATGGCAACTATCAGTTGAATCATGCTCGATCTTTGTTTAACAACTTTCGAAGAAGAGCGATCTCGTAACGGTTGTTTGGTCTTCTCTATGTTGGTAGCGCCGGTTCGTTCTGCCACTGTGTGCGTGTGCGTGTGTGCATTGCGCTTGATTGTTATTCCACTTTGTTGGGAAGTGTTGGGTCGGCACACTTGTGGTAGCGGCGGATTTGCTCTTGGAATAGGAGAGACAGAGGATGGAACAGAGTGTTGATGCTATCTCATTTTCCTCTCTTTCCAATAATCTCAATCAAGTTTGCAGCCTTTGTTGAAGGCGCATCGTCATTGGTCGCTTTGTGGGTGTTTATTAACCATTAAATGGCTCTAGGCCGTTGAGCTCAAGGAGGTGGAGGATCTTTCCAAAAAGTAAACAATTTTTTCAATTTTTCGGTTTATCTTGAATAAATTTTACGTGTTTTATAATTTGACCTCAAGTGGTTACTTGGACAGGTTCGGGCGATTTGAAGGAAGAAGTCTTTTTCGGGAATTTAATCATTTAGAATCCAAGACGTTGCTTCAGGTATCATGTCAATCGCATAGTTTTATCAATGAAACAGCTGGCTCTTGGGGCCTTTTTGCCGTGGATTACAATGTCCTGTCTGGCGTTGCTTGGTTTTCACTCTCATTTAAGGGCGACCTCCCTGGTGAGGTGATTCCTGCCATTCCACTTATTCCAAACTCTTCTGAATACACTCTGGCCAGGCATTGTCTTCTTTTGTCTTTATTGAGGTATCAGGATGTTGTATGTGTGATTGAATTAATGCTACATAACTCATCCGACTTATGCAGCTTACATTTGAAGGGTGAGTAGTGTTGTAATGTGCATTTATTCTCATAAATAGTCCATTATTTTTAGTCATATGGGGCGCAAGAAGCACAAGCAACCGCGGCCCAGCTCCAAAAAGGCCAACAAGAAGCAGATGCGAAAAAAACAATCCGCAATTGTACAACGCTGTATTCAGGCTCTGAATTCAAAGACGGATAACTTTCGCGCGAAACTGTCAGAACCTCAAAAATCACTCCCAAAAAAGCCGCCAAATGGTTCTCTAAAACACTTTAAACCCATTCGAATCGAGTTGGTGGAACGCGCTGCATTGGCTGATGCTGCCAATCTGCTGGAAAGTAAATTCCATCTTGGGGACACCAATCCACCTGGACAGAAGGAGAACTCCTGAGTCCCAACCATGTGATGTCCACCTTTTGTACAATATTTGCATGTCTCCATCCCTTTATGCATAACACCTCTGTAAACGGTTGAAATGGGACCGTGAAGTCTTTTAAACCTACCTGACACGTAGTAATATGATACAGGTTTAACGTGTGATTAGCTGACAATGTCTTTTTTACACCGCAACAGTATCGCAGTATTTCATTAAGGACGACGTCTGCGGATTCTATCTTCCCCATTCAGACATTCGCAACCGTTCGGAGCCGATAAATAAACGTCGGAATCCGATAGCGGGATCGAGTGGGGCTTGGAAAAATTCGACACTTGTCCACCAACAGTTTTTGAGGCTCAAAACTCCTCACACTGGCAACTGCACCTACTTCCAATCTGAACTTGATTCCACTGCATTGATAGCTCTGCTGAAGGGTCTGGTAGTGAGACGATAAAGGGGAGCTGACAAAACTGTTAGCCGATCTTCTCAATCTTGAATCTGTCCTAATCGATAACCACACGTTCACCACACGCGTATGAACTCTGCTCAACGAGAATCCACGTTTACTCTCATCTCCTGTACCTACCGACTTTCAATCCACCACCACCGTCGATAGAACATTCATTTCGAGCGCTTAATAGTCTACCACAAATCAAGTACCATTTTAAATCTTGTATCGTTCATTTTTTGTGTCTAGTTGTGAAATGCCAGCGGAAAAAGAAAATAAATCGAGAGGGCGGCGTGGGTGATATCTGCAGTCCGCCTCAGAGAAGGCGCAGGGTTTAGATAACAGCTTCCATTCCTAGTCCAGCAGCCAGGGCTTCCCGATTCTCATACATCAGGAAGGCTTGTACGTCGAACAGAATGCTCAACACTGTGTCACCCTTGCCTCTTGAACAAAAAAGGAAAGAAAATGCGTGCGTTCAGATCAAGCTTGCGAAAAACAATCTATCAATCTATCATATTCTTTAGAATATGAACTTAATGCCAAGCAATTTGAATAGGTAAGTGCTATAACACCAGAATATCTGGTTCCGCGAGTTAGTGTGCCACAAATATAACAGGGTGTGGACAAGTTTGGTAAAAGAAATTGTACATAAGGTATTTACGGTGACTCACGACCTGAGTAGGTCATCCAAGGTGATGAAGTCTGGATTCTGTGGTCGTACCATGTCGAATATCTCATTCAACACGTCGCAGAATCGTGGCACATCGGAACTATCACCCAGACGCGCCTGAACAGCTGTAAAATAGTACTCGAGGGTCTGGCAGCACAACCGCCCTCGTCCACCAAGATCAATGATACGGAAGAGGAAGGAGATGGCCTGCGGCTCCGCTCGATTCTCCAGCGCCAAAACAAAATCCAAGTAAGTCTTGTAATCCATCTCTCCCTCGTAAGTGAGACACTCCTGGAAAACTCGGTCCAGAAAGACGTCAGTCAGAGAACCGTTATTGTACCTGTTAGAGACATCAACCATGAAACCGCCAACTCCAGCAGAGTATACAACTTAAAGGGTTTCCTACGAGTAACCACTAATATCATTCTGCCTCAATTTGCTTGACGCTATTCATAAGAGTAAACGCCCGCGCATATTACGCCCTCGGAAAAAAACGCTGCTCCGGCACTTGCATGCGTGCACTACTAATATCGAAGTTTAAGAATTAACAACGCTTGTTGGCATTGGAGAGACACGAAAGAGATTAAAAATCGGTCCTTGTTGCATGTGACGTTACTGATGAAAAAGCAAACCGCTGTGATAGGCATTGTTGCGCGTACAAGAGTACCAAGGGTAGCAACGCTGGGATCAGGGCACTAGGCGTCGAGGCTGAGTGAGGAGCTGCACATCACGTTTGCGCTGAATCTCAAAAGACGGCAAGATATCCTACGCTTGGGTTCACTATTTGACTTAAAAGGTAAAAGATAAAAGTCATCTCGATTCCGTAATTTGTTGCCACCACGACCGCAGCAAGCAATCCCTCATAGAAAACCACAAGTAGAATGCGGCTGATGAATACTTACTATTGCCAAACACAAGAAATGATTCGGTCACGTTTTTTACACTATTGAGATGCCGAAAGACTCACCCAGCAAGTTCCTTCCGCGAGAGCATTCCATTCTGGTCCGTGTCAAGCCTCAAGTAGCTGGCATACACTCGCCGTGCTGACTCGAGGGAGAACCAATTGAGCTCCAGTCGCTCCTGTGAGGTGGTAGTCTCCCTCAGCTCGAGAATGGAATCGAGGAAACCACAAGCCAGGATATCGCAGATACGCACTCGACCTGCACGCATTGGATCGAGGAAAAAAAAGAACTTGCGTGTGGCGGTACATACGTAGAATGGCTTAAAACCGTCGTCGACCCCAGACACCTACCAAGGAAAAAAAGATGCCTGAGAGTAAACTAAATTAAAAGGAGGTGAATCGATGCGTCAATTCCAACCCTATAAACGATGAGATAACCGAAATTTACGCACGATCCGATATAAAAGTGCAAGCAACATTGGTCTTCTTAATCTTAACTGAATAATAATGAGTTTAAGCTCAGAAAAGTACGCCCGCAGCTATTGAAGTTAATTCTACAGACTAAAGAGAAAAACAGAGGAACAACAGTACTCACAGCCACACAGCACAAACGGAGAACAACAGCTTCTATGCCAATTCGATAGTGTAGGAGTACAGTGCAGCTACTATCAGAAATCACAATCGACAGGAGCATAATTTTTACTACTTACCTTACATAGGGAGGGAATGAGTTCAGCAATGTAGTTCTCGAGGTCCGTCTCGCGAAGATAGCCCTCGCCGCTCTCATCGTAAAAGGAGATCCCGATGCGCGTCTGTTGCAACCAAACGGTCTTCATTACATAGTTGAAGAAATTGAGGATATTTACGCGAGAGAAACGGTCGCCATGACAGAGCTTTGCAAATGTGGTCGCTGTAAAGAACCGTCTAAAAAGCGGCAAATCGACAAAACTTGACATAATTTGATTCGATGAAATCACTAAGGCGATACCAAAAGAACCATATGCAAAAAAGGCGCTCAATATTGTTAAAAAATTCAATGAGCAACATACTTTGCTTTGGGACAAACCTCATCCCTCACTTTTAGGAAATTGGGGTATGTGATGTAATTTTTCCCATGATCAGCGACGGGGTTCTTGTACTTCTCCAAGATATTCCACAATTCCTACCACAGAATAGGAGAATATAAAGTGCGCAAACCATACAGCAAGATCGTCATTATCCAGGAGCTCATTGTTTTTGCTTTCAAGAAGAAGATCTCTAGCCGACTCTCTGACTCTTCGAGCTAATAGATTGTTGTTGTATTGGCCCTAGAAAATTTACCGCATCGTTACATATCTACCTTGGACAGCAACTCATTTACATCAGGTGTTTCGGCTCCAGTCGATTTAAACATGAAGAGATTGCCAACTTAAAAGACACATACACGAAAAGCCTAGCGGAAACAGTATAACTAAGTGATGGGCAGAATAAGATGCGCCGTCGATCTGACCCGACACGGCGGCAAAACCCGCGCAGCACGATTCGAGGTCATAAACGGAACGACCGCGTCAAATTAAACAAGCGACGTAATAAATTAGTTCTATTATTGCAGTAAAAAAGCCAAAGCATAGTTTTAAACACACATAAAAAATAAAGCAAGCTAAAAGTGTTAAAAAATTGCGATCAAATAAAGGAAGCTGCAGTTATATGCGTGTAATATATGTGAAGGCATGTGGAACAAGGTTGCGCAAAGACGTGTAGTGACCAACTAATACATAGGCCTTCAGAAAGCCTCTTTTAGATTTAAAACTGACTATGATTGAGAACAAAATTTACACTCATCCACAGATAACAACCAAACTAAAACATTAAAGCGCATAAATAATTTCTCATTTTCTAAGCATCATAAATTTAAGAAATTACAAAGAATAAATGCTTGATTTATTTGCAAGCAACAACGAACTTTTTACCCACAGTTTTAAAACCTTATGCTCTCTGTACTTCAGCGCGCTTTTTTGTTTGCTGTTAGGCGTTTCAAGCTTCTCTTGCGCCCGACGGATATTTCAACGTTTTTGTGTTAATTATCTGGAAAAGGTGCTTTTCTAACAGGGTGCTTCTATTTACGTTATATGTTATTTGCCTTAGGACTTCCCTTCCTTGCTCTTACTACGAGGTCTTTCGTTTCTCTCGTTGACGTCTTTTACGCATCTAAAATTAATCGTTCATGCCATTTTTCAGTTGGCGTTTGTCTTCTTAGTCTTCGGTTGCTTGATAATATTTTCTCATTTTTCATTAGATGGCTGGATTATGGCCACCATCATGGTGTCCTTGGAGCTCCTGGGAACTGTGCACCGTAGAACCTTGCACATCTGGTGTTCGACTTCCTCTATTAAAGACTCAGAGGGATCCCACGCTTCGATCCAAGGAGGCTTTAAAGGAATACTGCGTAAATTCCACTAACTACCCAATAACTGCGCTTCACTGGCCAGTGGATGCTAGGGCTGGAACCTATCGGCTCGTTACGCCCACGCAGCAGCGTCGTCGTCGGTGTCGCTGTCACACCCTTAAAAGCCTGATTGACAGGTTCTTTCAGAAAACGTGTAAAGGTTGGTGATTCATAGGCTGTACGAGGGATTAAGTTAATGATCTAATTTGCAATCGAACTGAGTTGCTTGTGTTCAGTTTAGCATTTGACTAGGTGCGCGAATGGGCGGGCGAGTAAGTTAGTGCCGGAAAGTTAATGAGTAGATAGATCGTGAAAGAATATCAGGGCTGTTCTATCAGTGGCTATACTCTGACCACGTCCGAATGGCTGCGTAATGTAGGTTTTTGGGCTAATTTATGCAAGTTTAATGCACATTTATCCGGAAAATAACTTCCCTTTCTCATGGCTCTCTTACCTGCATAACCTTTTATTTGTCTGTGTGCTTGTTTAAGCTCATAATACTTCAGCACATGCAGGTGAAGTAATATAAAGATGCATTTTTCCTGGCGTAGTTTTACAAATGTTGCAAATTGTTGAGAGTTGACTGAAAATTCTTTATTTAAATTGTGCCTTGTCTTTTGCTATTCAATGGAACCTGCCATCATCGTTTGCCATGATTTTAAGACTTCAAAAGGATTATTTAGTCACCAAATTTATGCTGATCCGCTCTTACTTTGGCTCTAACAAATTGGTGCACTCCAAACCGTACTTTTCTTTGCACTTGATTGTTGTGAAGACCCTGGAAGCTTCTTGTCTTGTCAAACAGAAATGAGCCGACTGATTAGTTTTTGGACTTAGTGCAATTTGACGTAATCCATTTGACAATTTTGAACAGCTTGATTTCACAAACTCATTGCAGGTCTTGGTACACAGACTTGCTTGCGCTGATTGTATTTGGACTACGATGCTAATTTGGGTTCAGCGTCAATCCTCGGCTATCGCACTTTTTAGTATACTCTGTAAGATAGCTTTGGAAACCCGATCGCTGTCAAGTAGATTAAGAAGGCTCAACTAGTGTAGCATTTGCGTTCCTGCAAGCCACGCTCTCATAATTTTGCCGGCTGATTTCCAGTCCTTTTCCTCACCGTGAGGTGTAAACTCTTAACAGCGTAACTGAAATTGATGCTCATCACGCGCATAAGTAGTATTTTGCACCCGTTCTTCTTATAGAAAATGAGGTGCAAGTGGACTGTCACACCTGTTTCCCACCCTTCTCCGGCATCTACAGCCGCTCCCATAAGGGTGAGCCACTTCTGTCGTGCAATGATCTGGCGGAGTCTCGTAGCGCTGCAGCTGCAGCCTCTGCCAGCTCAAGCAATTTTTACGCCATCCTGGGTGGTGCTCTGGGCACTGCAGCCTTCCTAGTCATTGTCTTTTGTTGTGTACGCTTCTTCTTCTTTTCCTCCGGTGTTCGCCGTCGTGTTCGACGTCCTGGGGGTGGTAGCAGAGGTGGCGGTATGGTCGGGGGCGGTCTTGGTGATAGTACAGCCGATCCTGCTCTGCGACGCCCTGTTAATACTTTACCATATCCTCATTTGTAAGTTTTTTTTATCCTTTTAGTGCCGTGTTGGGTTTCGCTTTTTTCGTGACCTGACCGCATTTATTATCCTGTCTTCTAACTGGATCGCTTCCAAGGTTTTCATCACTTATATAAATAAGGTTTTATCGTCCTGTACATTCCCGTTCACGATCTGCTTTCAAGCTGTATTTGCGTTCGTAGATGTTCGAAACGCCTAATGATTAACTTCCTTGCCACTTGGATCACTCTTGGTAGTGTAATAATTTGCATGTTAAAATCCCTCCTCAAAATTCCGATGGAAAATCCGTATTGTTAATTAAAAGTAGGCTTTCCCGCGGAGCAGCCATTCATGTGTTCTGATACTTTTTCGCAATGTAGCGATTACATCGCATCTCGATGTCGACCGATTGTATACGGAGTGAAAAGCATAAATGTCCTTTTCATTGCATTGATCAAATTACTAGAAAAAGTTGTGCAACGTTATTTGAATCAAAATGATCCTAGTGTAGTGAAACACCCTCTACGTTGGTCCGCTGTCAACTTTGTTCGACAATACAATCCGCGGCTGTCATATGATGAAAAATCTGTTTGACCTTATACCAGCATTGAAAGTTGAGGCACTGCCAAGACATCTGGTGTTTAAACAAACTGAAGTAAGTTTAATGGGCCATCCGCGTGAACAATACCTCTTTCTCATTGATTTTAAAATACACCGGCTACCTTGGATAGGCTGCTGACTGATGAAATGACTTTTGGTGGGATGCGGATTATGTATTGCAGCTGGCTTGTGAACAAGCCCCTCACTGTCAACCAGTTAGGGAAGGTAATGCCGACTATTTTGGATGCAGTTTGGCAATCTACCTGTGGAACAGTTTTTTTCTTGATGAATTAATTTGTGGTTGCATTGCACCTTGTTAAGAAAGCTCAGTAGGCTGAAATGTTCATCACTTCAACGAGTGCAGAGTCAGGTTTTCTTACTGACCTATTCATAAGGCCTAGGTTTCGATGGTGTTGCTCCCACGGCTTTAGTCTGGTCAGATCATGACGTGAAGTGCGGTGGTGAAACTGTGTCAAGCTTCATCTATCGTAACTGTATTATCCCTATCTAATTTACATAAGCAATTTCATTGAATGACCTCATTTATCACCTTACAAGGCAATAGTGGTCGTGTTGTGGGTGAAAAAACCTCTTGGTAGTCGAACCGTTAGGCCATATAGCAATTAAAAGCCAATTTATTTGGTTGAGGTTAGGCCATCCTCTGTAGCTGACATGGTCCAGTGCTTCTACATCTTCAAATCATGCAGTCCTAACTTAATCACCACGTAAGCTTACTGCGATTTCCATGCCCATAGGTATTGTCTGAGCCTACTTAAGCACCTTGCAGCAAGACCACTTAAACCCATTGGGTCGATTGATGAGCGTCGGTAACCTCTGGTTCCAATGTATGCCTGGTTTAGGTCTGAAAGATTATTTACGCCACTCAAATTAGTGATCACGGAATGCACCTATTGACGTATTCCTGTTCCCAAGTCCCCATACTTAAGTCTGCAAAATCGGCAAGAGCTAGGTGCCTGTTTTGTGGGATCCAAAGCTTTATGACCTAGTCTTGGGGTCCTTGGGAGGAAGCACTGCAAGCAAAGAGAAGGACTTGAGGCAACTGGCTGTCGAGGGGGCACTGTCGAGATTGAGAGTCAAACAAACAGTCGAGGTATTGCAGTAGTCCATTTCGTTTCTTAATTTTTTTTATCCTGGCCTTCTTTGCCAATCTATCGTGTCAGCCAGCACAGCGCAGGCGCGGAAGTTTTTCAAATTTTATGCAACGCCACTGATCACTGGTAGTATTTCTGCTGGCTTCAATGCCTTGTCCTGTGTGGGAAATGGACTTGAAGAAGGGTGAATATACTGCCATCAAATGCGCCTCTGTCCTGTAGTAATAGCGTTGGCTGGAAAGTTAGTGGACTGACTTTGGCTCGGTCTCTTAAACGCGCGTTTTCCTTCCCTTGTGCTGCTCCCATTTCAGGGTCTGCCGTCTATGTATGTCTGGATTCTATCCAGCTGCTGAAGGGAGGCGGTACCGTGAGTTCACTATAATTGAGTACTTTCATACAGTCACGGTATACAGGTCTGTGAATAACTTTCCCAAAGGATTTGCCATTGTTTCCGATCTCGTTGTTAATGTCTTTTTTGCAAGTCCCGGGACTGAGGTGGGAAATTTTTTTCACTCTCCTGTTGGAGTTGTTAGTATCTCTCCATTTCGCAACAGCCCAAATTCGCCTCAAGCATTATTACTCAGCAGTAAGAATCGGAATAGATGTCCTTGAAGGTGGGTGCAACTTTCTGCCGCCACCGTTACAGTGGACGGGGTCTCCTTTGAAAACGAAAAGAAAAACATGATTCTAGTCATATGTTTGTTCATGTGGTTCTCCAACTTACAGGGCTTCTACTTACTCGGCGATGTACGGACACACACGAAGATGCTTATTATTCAATGCCCACGTTTGTGGCGGACTCGATTTCAATGGACTAGTGTAAACAAGAAGACGAATGCCGTCAAAGCGGCTTGTGCCGCACGACTAGTCACCTTGGGCCTCCATGTTTCTAAATTACACTCGATCTTGGTTTTTTTTACAAGTAGCAGCCAACCCAAAGCTTTTGCAGTCTTGCTGTCGAATGATTCAGCACTGATGCATGAAGTTTGCATTTTGCGTCATTGTCAATTTCACCTTCCGTTGCTGACTGTTGCACAAAATCGGGAGAGGAATAATTTTTCTAGGCAGTAGTAGTCGCGGTGTTTACACGCCACGCCCTGTTACTTACAGCTACCACGATCTTTACTTCTTTCCTGCATAATTTGCAATGAAAATGCAAAGGTGTGGCTTTTTCAACATTCTAATTCTGACCTCTCTTTTCTATCGACAGTCTGAACTCAGAGCTTCCGCCGGCATACAAGGATGTGGTCGCGATGACTGTAATCTTACCCACAGCCACGGAACAATGTGATGGGAGTCCTAATCAACGCCTTTTGACATCGCTGTCACCACCGTCACCACCGCCGGCGTTGCCGCCGTCATCGACACCGCCTCTATCTGTTGCGGAGGAGAGTAGTGAGGGGTTGGGCGGTAGCAATGAGAGCGGTGGGTCGGAGGACCCGCCTCCACCGAGCTATCAAGACGTGATCTCTTTTTCTCCCTCTGCCGCTGACATGCGCCAGCAGGTACTTGCTGCTGCAGCAGAAGCGGCGACTGTTCGCGAACAATCCACAATTTAGTCGATTCACTTATCTAGTCGGAATTCTAGTCCATTCCCACCATCCTCCTCTTACTATTTCCCTGCTTTTAAACACGCTTGACAGCTCTCTCGATGCCGTGAGTTCGTGTTCCTGGATGGCTCTTTTTTATTTTGTCATATTTATACTTCAAATTTGCCTGTGCTTGTATGCCTGTGTGTGCGTGCAGGATTGTGTAACTTTGTGATTCTTTGCGCCGCTGAAGACGATGAAGGGTACGAGTTCTTCCACGGGTTTCCAGCCTTTCATCAGTGGTTTTTGCTTTCTTCCACAGTAAGATAAATAGTAGGAGCGCCAAATGCAGTTGTGAGGTATGCAGGGCGGATTTCGTACCGTTGCTGTTTTTGACTCATTGCTTGCCCAACTCTAGAGTCCCTTTTTTTCGATTTATTTCGTGATCATGATAACACTGTCCTTTTTCCCTGTAGTGGCTCCCGATTTCAAGCTTGACTTGCATTTCCAATGTGTTGAATTACTTTTTTTTCTCAACTTGACAATCTTCGGTCGCCGTACTGACTCTCGCTTGTAGGTATCCCTATCATTTGCCTCGGTTTCAAGCAGTTGATGGTGCATTGTCGGCCATCCTGTTGTAAATTTTATCCACAGACTTGCGTCTTACTGTACGGTTTATTGGCTCTTGAGGTGATAACAACAACTTCCAGAACGCTGTTTCTACTAGCATGGTGTAGAGTTCCGTGCCATTGTTCGGCCATTATGTCATCTGTGTTTAAATACGGCACTTGGCGGTGATTTGGGATGTCTGACTTTTTGGATGTGTTCTTTTCGTTCTGACATCTGCAGTAACCCAAAATCTGACTTGGCAACATTTTTTTAACAAGCTCAAAATCGGGGAACGAGTGTCCAAGATGACACTTTATTGCCGCCTTTCATTAGGCAGCTTACAAAGGACTCCGTGTTTACTGATCGTCCCAGCGCTGCATGTGCAACCATGCTGAAACGGCTGGTGAAAGGCTTAAAATGCCACAAATTCTTATCATTTGTTTTGGGTCTTCAATTAGACCCTCTGCATGGACGACTTGTTTTCAAAACTGCAAAACCTCCTGTCATGGATCACTTTCCAATTGAGGTCAGGCTTTGAGCCCTCCGTCCTCTTGGATGGTTTGCTGAAAATGACAAGCTCATGCACGCTCTACGACCCCTCACATAACCTGCCCTTGTGCTGTGATTCATATTTGGTTGAATTTTAGTGAACAATTACTACTGCGAGCAATTTTGGCATCCACTAGCTGCACTCACTGAGTTTTGGCTTAATGCCTCGGTCCGTTCTGCGACGCAAGTGGTAAAATTTATGCTCGCAGCGTTGGGCGGTAAAATAGTCACCAGGGTCATGTGCTTAAACCAGCAAGAATTTTATGCCACACCCACCTCCTTCGTCTTGCAACAGTTAGTGAATGAAGGGTATCCTGAAAATGGTAGTATGACGCCCCAAAGGCCTCTTTTCCCATCAGCTTGATTATTGACTGGCGGTCGTATACTACTTAAAGGTTACTAGTAGCTCGCAGGTGTTTCGGAGTACGCTTGGACAAGCCTAGGTCAAGATAAACTTTCAACTGCAAAATTTAATCCAAACTTGTTAACCTTCTCAGATAAGGCGGAGTGTTGTAAGCATTTTCCATAACTCGTCGTTGTGGTGTTGCAAACACTAGACTCTGCCTTTGTACTTTGGTTTGGTGGAAGGGCCTTAAAGTCAGGCCAATAACCTCCTCCACGGGCTCTCAGTATGTCGCAAGTTCGTGCTCTCCTGGTTGGTATTTTGATTTATCTCATCACTGGAGAGGGAGAAGTCTATTGTTTAGGTGCTGCCACTTTGATTTCTACAAATGGGTATGCTGGAGGTTGGAGAATTTGTAGTCGTCCTCAATAGCGGGGTTGAGAATGAGCACATGTGCTATCGGAAGCTATTAATAACTAAAAAAGACATTACTTGTGAATAAACTAGAATTGCTTGGAGCGGCGTTGTTTACGCTAGGTTTATAAAAATGTCAATGAAGTGGACATAAAGTACCTCTGCCAGCCCTACTAGCTGATTAGAATCTAAATAGGTACAGTTGTCAGCGCTGAAGTGGGAACAAGGTATCAAGGAGGAACGGACATAAGACATTCCAATGGGACTATTTTTAGCATAGTTTTTATCAACTGCTTGATATAAGGTCATTGCACTTACAAGTAGGGAAAGGCACATGCTTGTAATTACTTGGATATTCCTCCTTCCTCTCTCATTCCATTGGAATCACCAACTTGGATCACTAGAATGGAGGTTGGGTGCCTGCCCTATTTTATGGCCCAAGCGTTTTTTTTGTCAGAGCCTTTTCTATTTGGTAATATCACCTGCTTTGAAGTGGCAACTGTCAGTAGTGATAATCAAAAGGCACTGGTTGTTTTTTTTTAATCCTTTGGTTTTGGAGTCATGGGCGTTAGGGTCTCTCCTGAAGGCATGGCCTCTGGAGCGCATTATTTAATGTCCAGCTTTTTTGTATGCAGTGGTACCTATCTCGCCCATTGTTCATGACCTTCTTTGTCTTTGGAAGCATTTTCTGTCGAAAACCTACTACCTTAATTGAAATTAGGTTATCTCTGATCCATGGTAATGAAAAGACAACAAAACAGATGTTGCAAGTGACACATATCGGGCAAAAGAGGTCTAATGTGTTTGTGGTAAGGCACATTGGATGCAGTGGGTATCTACCGTGGGTGTACGGCAGAACTTTAAGTTGGTAACGACAGTTGGAGGGTCAGAGTCCAAACCTGTGATCTTCTTAGCCTTTTTATTGATACCCAACGTTTTCCTGAATCAGGTTGATGTCAGTACTGTCTCTAAAATTCGAGTGCTATGGTGTGGACGTATGGGAGACGTTTATTCGAATTGTAAGTTGTGGCGGTGCACGGAGGTAAATACTAGCCCCTTAAAGATGAAATTTTGGGGGAATATCGCGTATCGCACCCATTCTTCTACCAACGAGGAACCACAAACCATTGATACTGGGTCGCCCACGAGGAGTGAAGTGTCATCTATGGAGCATTTGGTATTTACTCCAAGGAATACGTCAAAGGCCTACTGTAATTTGGAATGGATGATTAATATGATGTACTGCCCGTAGGAGCAAAGAATCTCATAAATTGTCGGGACGTGGAGATACAGTGTTTCTAGGCTTCACCATTGGAGTGACCAGACAGTTTTAACTTTTTTTTGCACAAAATGCTCCCTGCTAAATTTGCCATTGGGCCAGAGAACCCTTACAGGAGCCATAAAAATAGGTGAATGCGGGATCTCAGAGTTGGGAGCTATAAAAAAAGGGCTATTTCACATCCATTGAAACATTGAAAACCACTGTGATAATTTTTAAAGGGCAGAAGTTATCCACATATGAACGCCAGAGAGGTGACTTGTTTACGCGGCTACTAGAAGCTCAGCGTCTGCTTCGATTTTGAGGCTAGAAATAGTTCAAATTGTATCAAATCCGTGGCCATGGGAAGCCGAGTAAGCTTCTCGTTACGCCTGAGTTCGCGCAGTCACTGCACTAGCAGAACGCATTGAGGGTACTGAGAGCGGAGCAAGGGATGCTCGCCAAGTGCCATGGTAATTACAGGGCGTGTGCGTGCTCCAGTCCGGAGAATGTTATGGGGCACTCCAGACAATAAAGTGCTTTGCCTTGTGATTACCATTAGCGGCTTGAGGCGTTAGAGTAAGTCTATTTAAGCGATTAGAGCATGTAGAATTTTTGCAGGCAGCATATTTAGATTGGGAAAGGACATGACTTCTTAATTTGCTGCCTTTTAACTCATTTGTGGATTTATGTACAGGCTTGGGGATTGTACGTTGAGGTGTTTCGAATTGTAGGAAGGCCTGACTCCTCAGACGGTTCAGCGTAATTGAATCTCAAGATCAAGAAGGCATCTTCAGTTCCTAGAAGGGGAAACGAACTAGTAACCTTGTTTAATCGCATGGTAGAACTTAGTCAGC